TAGGTTATAGGAATTTTTGGTGACTTAACCGAGATCACGTAAATTAATTAGATATTATAAAAAAATAGGCTGGGAAAAATAAAAATAAAATCTATAAAAGTAACTACTCTACTTTCTGATGATGAAATCGTAAATAACAGAAGTAATATTTGTAAAAAGTTTTTGAACCATTTCATAAAGATAGCTGAAAATCAAGTATCCTTCATCTATAATTAATAATTATAGGCAATAAATGCAGGGTTCTGCTTTGTCAGTAATTCTTTTTTGAATACATCGATAGTGAAGCGCACAGATATGCTAAGTAACAAATTTAAAATTGGGCAGGACAGCATTTTGAAAGTTTGCAAGTTTCCGAAAAAAGGCCAGTTAATTAGATTAACGCTACACACTTTAATTTTCATCCTAAATTGTTCTTTAATTAAACTATTTAAATTAGTTTTTTATTTTAAGTAATTTTTATACCCGTACGAACGTATGTTCGAAGGGTATACTAAATTTGCCTTACCGTTTGTAACGCTAAGAAATAACGGTGTTAGATATAGACCCAAGTGTATGTTTTTGATCAGCGTCAAATTCTGAGTTGGTTTAGCTTTGTCTGTCCGTCCGTCCGTCCGTCCGTCCGTCCGTCCCAACGATAACTCAAAAACTAATTGAGCTAAGTTCACCAAATTTTCACAAATGATTTATTGTAGTAAGTGCCAGAACCCTATTTAAATTGGACATGATCGGGGTACCGGTTCTGGTAGCTGCCATACAACTTCAAAATTTATTTGGCTATATCTCAGAAACTATAAAAGTTATGGTATTAAAATTTCACACAAACGAATATATTAGTAGGCCCAATATGCCACATAAAAGTTGTTGAAATTACTTGGCTCCTTCTGGTACCTGCCATACAACTTCAAAAATTATTTGGCTATATTTCAGAAACTATTAAAGCTATGGTATTGAAATTTCACACAAACGAATATATTAGTAGGGCCAATGTGTCACATAAAAGTCGTTGAAATTACTTGGCTCCTTCTGGTACCTGCCATACAACTTCAAAAGTTATTTGGGTATATCTCAGAAACTATAAAAGCTGTGATATTGAGATTTCACACAAGTGAATATATTAGTAGGGCCGATGTGTCTCGTAAAAGTCGTTGAAATTACTTGGCTTCTTCTGGTACCTGCCATACAACTTCAAAAGTTATTTGACTGTATTTCAGAAACTATTAAAGCTATGGTATTGAAATTTCACACAAACGAATATATTAGTAGGGCCAATGTGTCTTACAAAAGTCGTTGAAATTACTTGGCTCCTTCTTGTACCTGCCATACAACTTGATTATATTTCAGAAACTATAAAAGCTGTGATATTGAGATTTCACATAAGTGAATATATTAGTAAGGCCGATGTGCTTGATAAAATTCGCTAAAATTTCTTGGCTCTTTCTGGTGGGTGCCATACCACTTCTATAGTAGTTTGGCACAACCAGTATTTTGAATAACACAAAGTACTGAAATTTTGCATAAATTAATATGGTAATACGGTAACTTAAAGCCATAGCCTGCCCCATAGTTAGTTATGGTACATTAGTTATTCGCACATAGGATAACAAATTCGTACGGGTATCACAGAGTTGACAAGGTCAACTCTATTTTTTTTCTCGTTTTTTAATTAAATTTAAATTTTTGCACAATAGGTCGTGCACTTAGCATAAAATGGCTAATAGTGCAAAATTTTACTTTTTAGTTTTGCGTTGCAAGTTATGCACTTAGCATAATTGTGTGCAAAATAACGAAATAATATTGAGTTTTATGTTAAGTTATTTTTCTATTAAATTTCAATACCTCAATTACAACTGATGTACTTAGCATATTTATGCTTCATTAATATGTCAGCTTTGCTAATCTAAACATTCTAAGAAAGCACTTGGCCTTTTTTGGCTACTTAGACCTTGCACTTAACCTATTTTACAAACACCAATCTCGCAAACTAATACACGTACAGCAATGAAATCTATACCACAAAAAGAGGACTGTTCGAAATTAGTATTGGTGTAAAAAAACGCATTTTGAAAAATTTGTTACTTAGCATATCTGTGCGCTTCACCATCCACATATAAATAAAGTAGTTAAAGCAATAAAACCTCCGGTTAAATTCTCTATTTTCGCAGATGACTTAACTGTACTTATTTCAAGCAAAAATTAAAAAAAGAAATGAGTCAAATAATGCAGGATAATTTAAATAGAATTGTGCTGTAGTCTAACGAAACGAACTCAAAATTTTCGATAACTAAAACAGTAGCAATGATTTTTAATAGAGATAGAAAACCTATTAGTCGCTTTGATTTATTTATTAAAGGTACTAAAATCAAATATGTTCAATCGCAAAAGCTTTTAAGTCGGCTTTTTGAAGAAAAGCTTAACTGGAAAAGTCATATCCTAGAAATAAAAACGAGGACTCAGAGAGATCTTAATATTCAAAGAATATAATCAATATTGTCTTTTAAATTTTATCTAAATTGGAATATGGTAACTGGGTCTACGCATCCGCTAATAAAACATTGTTGAATTCTTTTAACTCTGTTTCAAATTCTGGTATAAGAATAGAAACTGGGGTTTTCAGAACAACTCCAACTATTGGTCTTCTAGTGTATAGCGGAGGATTGCCTTTAAACTTAACAGGGATAAAGCAAATGATGAATTACGGAGTTAAAGTAATGTCGATGCATGAGCACCCTTTAACTCAATTAATAAATAATACAGGTATTTATGAAAAAATAAAAAGAAAAAATATTAATTACTAACCTTCATTTGTTAGAATTAAGACACATATTGAAAATGTGATTGAAAATAAATCATTTGATTTTAAATAAATTCAACAGCAATCTTTTTGGAAACAAAACCTGGTGGAAATTGATTTAAAAATTTCCAATTATGAACAAAATTAAAGTAGTCGGAAAATTTAACAAAAATTATGCTTAAAAAAAATATTATTTGTTGCCGTTGCTCTGTTTTTTTGTGGCTACTATCGCATGTACATATAAATGGTAATGAAAAGGTGAATACAATAATATTGCAAAGGAGGGAGTTCATGACTCTTTACCTGGAATTTAGTCTGGTAGATTTTAGGGAAGGGATTAGTACCCAAGAGTTCAACTTTCGCTAATTTGGGATAATCAGGAGTATATTAGTAAACTCCGCAGCATTATAAATTTTATACCATATTGGAAATTCTTAGACAAATTCACTTGAAAACAAGATAAATTACAATGAATAATTACAAGATTAGGATGTAGTCACACAAAATTAACACACTAATATTTAACAAAGAATACTAGTATTCCTATTTGTATTTGAAAAGAATTGTTGATTGTTAGGCATATATTTGAAACTTGTTCTGCTTATGATAATAATAGAGGTTTGTATAATATTACAGGTATCTCAAAGTATGTTGTAGATGATATTGAATCATATAAAAATACAATCAACTTTTTTGGAAATTTTGGAGTATTTCAAAATATTTAAAAAAAGAAAAGGAAAAATCTTGGTTTTGTTTGTATAATTATGTAGAATTAAAAATGATTGTAAAAATTATTATAAAATAAAGTTGGTTCAAAGCAAAGGTTTGTATTGTAGCACTTTTCTCTTCAACGAGAATACTGTTTTTAAAAATAATCAATGTATACCTACCACACTATTTTTATAGGAAATTCACAGATGCAATAATTAATGTAATTTGATTCAAATAATTATAACAGTATTAATAGGAACATATTAGGATAAAAGTGACGTTCTGCGTGATCTGTCAATTAGAGAAATGCAGATTAAATTCTTTATAGTTTACGATGCTTAGATAAAGAGAATTTTCTAACTTCAAACTTGATTTAGCTATCTTACTTTAAATAAATCATACTGACATTATTTCAGATACTTTTTTTAATTGAAATTTGTTTTCAATCACGTTTGGCTTTTGCACTCAATATTTATCAGACTAAATTACTTAAATACCCATAATATGTGTAATTGCGTGATTAAAACTTTCAGTGGAAAATTTACAGTTTCATTCAAAAATCATTTTTTCCAAATATTTTGTTCTAATGGTCAATGATAATGACTTTAATATTTAAAAGTATGCATTTTGTAACATTCAAAAAACGAAATTATTTTATTGAACATTTATACAGTGAAAAAATACATATATTTTTTTTATATGTAAGGTTGAGAATCAGGGATTAGTTTAACATTTAAAGAACGACAGATGGACTAAAAAATATTATGATTAAACTAAAAAATTAAATATCATTTCCCAAATAGGTAAAAAGATTTAAAATAGAAAAATAGTAGAAAGTGGTTTTAAAATAACAATACAAACAAATTTTCTACAGAATGTCAAACCATTCTATAGAAACTTCACGCATATGTTTAACCAATAAAGGGACACATAACTGCCATTTTTCATAAATATAGTTTTATTATTTATCCAAATATTTAAAATTTTCTTTTGGAGTTGTGTCGCAAGTACCCGAATCTGTCAAGCCATTCCACCAAAACTTCAGGGATATACATATATGATCTGTACTGGATCTGTATTGGACACAAGACTGCCAAGTTTCATGAGCCTTAATTTTTAAATTTTCCAAATATTTAAAATTAGCTTTTGAAGTTGTATGGCAAATAAGGGAATCTGTCAAGCTATTCCGCCAAAACTTCAGAGATATATGTGAGCTATAATAACGCAATCAATTGCGTTATTTGTTTTTGAGTTATCATGCGGTCGGACAGATATACGGGCGGACGAACGGTTGGCAAACGTAGAAACAATAAATTCTTAGAAAGTACATTTATGTACACTATACTCGTACTCATGTTATATCAGTATAAACATATATATATGAGCTCATAACATAAATTACGCATTATTTAATATTTAGTAAATTTTTTTAACATATTAAAGTGATTATATTCATATATGTGTGCCTAATCTTTGTTTTGAATATATTCATAAATAGATACGAAGAAATGAGGAACTTCCGCCCATAGCACATGATAGCAATATTGATCCTAATTATCAAGATTATAGAAGGCTACCGAGTCCTGTACACTCAATTCCTGGTGATAGACTTATTGCTGAATGCATTTACGACAGTTCGTCACGGAAAGCAATTACCTTAGGTAAGTTTAACTACATATATCAAATATACTACTACATACATAAATAAATAATATATAATCGACATATTTAAAACATTGCAAAATGAATAATAATAATAATAGCAATAAGCCTTTTATTATTCAGAAAGTTGTTAGTTGGTTATGTAATGTAGATTTTTGTTTTTTTTTTTGTTGGGAATTGAAGAATTTTTAGCACTTTTTCAAAAAATGCCATTTTGGTATGGAGTTTGTAACTACTTGAAGGAGTCGTCCCCGGTTGGGACACGTATATATATTCTTGCTCAGCGTAAAATTCTGCGTTGATTTAGACATGTCCGTCCGTTCGGATGATAATGCAATCAAAAACGAATAATGCAATCGACACCAAACTTCCGCAGGTTTTTTCTTTTGTGAAAATGACGGCTTCTATTGTAATTGGACCAATTCGGACAACGGTTCGGGCAGCTGCCATACAAATCAAAGAAGTGTTTTAAATATTTCGTAAACTAATAGAGATATTAATATCAAGTTTTGTAAAAGTGTGTCCAATTGTGTTCTACATACATTCTGAAAATTTCAATAAAACGGTTGCACTGGTTCGGGTAGCTGGCATACAACTGCAAAAGTTAACTTTAAGTATTTGGAAAAATATTAAAGCTAGATTCATGAAAGTCGTCAGTCGTGTGTCAAATTTTAAGTCAGATATATTTTTGAAGTTTTGATGAAATGACTTGATGGGTTCAGGTAGCTGCCATACAATTCCAAATGAAACTTTTAAATATTTATAAAAATACTAAGGCTATAGAAAACGTTTTTACTTGTTTGACTATTTGTTTTAAACAAATCATAACCATTTTTAAAATCAAAAGCAGAAAAGTTATGACTGAATTCTTCTAACGCAGCACACCATGTTTGGACTTTAAAATAAACAAAATGACTGCTCAAATTTACCGTTATCCATAATTCTAGACCAAAATTTTTGCAGATTTTAGACATAGTTCATTTCGTTAGAAGAAATGTTTTTTCCAGCTCCATCCCCTCTTAAGTTATCTTCTCAAAATTTGTAAAATTTGAATTTTTGGCACTTTTTTTTCCGAAACTGCAAGTTCTTCCCAATTTTTATAAATGCATAAAGTAAACGGAAAATGCTTATAATTATTTAATTATGTGAATTAAGAAAAATATAATTATTTTTAATTACATAATAAATTAATCCTAAAGTTACACTATTAACCCTAAAATGCGAGCATTATTTTAACGCCTCTTTGATTATTACCGACCGTATTGTGTAAACAATAGGTAGGTTATGTGATGGCAGCAAATTTTGCATATCGAGTTTTCGGTGGGAATGCACTTCTCCATAGTAGGGAAGTGCAAGTAAACTATTTTTAGCAGCCTGTCGGTCTGTCGGTCTGTGTGTGCACGCGTGTATCTCAAGATCGGCTGAACCGATTTTGATGAAATTTTATATGTAAGTTTATTTCGACCATGGAACGGATTGATCAACTTTTGGGATATATCAGGCCTCGGGAATTGCACTTTTCAGAGGGCCTGTTTTACATTTTTGAGCATTTCGAAGAAAATATTCAACCGATTTCCGCAAAACCTTCTAATTTTTTGAAGAAATCAAGTGTCAGTAACTGGACGTTTACTACGGGCCAAATATACATTTTTGCGTATATAAAGAGAAATAACCAACCGATTTCATAGAAACTTAATATTTAAATTCTTCATATTAAAACAATGAACATATAAATTTTTTGGAAAGATCTGGGTTTCGAAAACTGATCTGTAGGCCGATTTTACATTTTTCACCATATTTATGGAACGAATTGATGGAATTTGCTGAAATTTGATATTTGAGTTCTGGTTGTAACCAAAACTAACTGGCGAGCATTTCAGGGAATTCGGGTAGCACAAAGCAAAACTCTACTAAGAGCTAAATTCACATTTTTCTAAGTATGTTAACCAAAAGCATACTAGTGTCCTAAAAATTGGAAAAAAGTATTTAACAGACATACTCGTATTTGGAATATTCTGCAACACTTTCACTTAACTAGACAATACACATTGCGGTCGGTTATGTGCTGATCATATCAGATTTTTTTGGTTTTATTAGCTAGATTGAAATATCAAGCAGTACAAGTAAGAAAAGTTCTGCATTACAAACCATCAGCTTGACCCAATTTTATTAGATTTATGTTAACTTCGCTGTTTATTTTTTTTGCATTTCCTATGATTTTTTTTTTTGCTTGAATGCAGAAAAGTAAACATGGATAGTTTTTTAACCAAAAAACAGTAAGAATATTGTGCTTTAATGTGATTTATAATACAATTATATAGAATACGAGATATAAATATATATAGATATAAAATTAAATTGTTTATTACTTTGTTCTTAAAGAGCGAAAAGATTAAACAATTTTTGAACATGGTGCTAGACATGGTTTAATGTGAAATTGAATAGGAGATAGCAGATATACTCGTTTTGGAATTACAGCTTGGTTCTAGATTTTTTCTTCATATAAATAAATGATAATAACTTCGAAGTCGTGTAACACAGAGTAGATAATCAAAAATATTACAATCTATAATTCTAGAGCTAGGTAGATAATAATTATCAATTGCAAATTACGTAAATTTATATATAAAGTATTTGGATTTAACAACTAAAACATTTTTAACACAGCGTAACATATGTACAGAATATAATTTTAATATATTTAATTTTGCTACATTTTAGCTAGATAGTAATTGAGTATAGTTTTTTAAATTCATTTATATTAGTTTTAAGTTTCATTTCCGATTGTAGATTATTATAAATTATATACGCAATATTAAATGTTGAGTCAAGATTATTGAATCTTACATTGGACGAGGTTATTATAATATTATCAGCATGTCTTGTTGCATAAGTATGAACTTGTCTATTAAATGTAGTTTCGATGCTAGTATTAATATTATTGTTTATCATGAGGTGTACATGAGTAGCAAGCTTATTTTCAATATATAGTTTTAGTCAGTGCTGTAGTCGTAAAATTAGCATAGGGTATACGCTTGAGAATATAAATTTTTGGTAAAAATAAACAAGGTTATTTTTAATTATATTTTTATTAAAAAACAAACACCAACTTTTCATCAACAATTAAAAACAATTTAAATAAGCTTTTAAGCCAGTATCAATAAACTTACTTAAAGAAGTTTTCAAAATTATATTTTTTTGAAAATCAATGTTATTTTGTCAACAGCTTTTGCTAACTTCAAATAAACTAAAGAATATGCAAAATTAACGTCCACAATAACGTAGTTTAGCATGGTTACCATAGCAACTTTAGTTAAAGAAGAGTATTTGATAAAATTCAAATATATTTTCAAATGTATAGAATTGGAAGAGAATCGTTTTAAATCGAAAACCAAATTGTTTATGTATTAGTTTACATCACTGCTGGATAAATACAGCATTGGTAATAAGACAATATCTATCTTGAAGAAGTCGTTTTTACTTTTTTATACCTTGCACTTCGTGAAGGGTATACTCGTATTAACTTTGGTATGGAGTTTGTAACTACTTGAAGGAGTCATCTGCGGTATGGACATATATATATCCGTCCGTCCGTCCGTCCGTCCGTCCGATCGCACGATAACTCAAAAACGAATAATGCAATCGATACCAAACTTTCACAAGTTTTTTCTTTTGTGCCAAGGACAAGCCCTATTGTTGTTGGACTAATTCGGACAACGGGTTCGGGTAGCTGCCATACAACTCAAAGAGTTTATTTTAAATATTTCAAAAACTAATAAAGGTATAAATATAAAATTTTGTATACATGTGTCCAATTATATTCTGCACATGCTCTAAAAATTATTATGGGATAGCTGCACCGATTCGGGTGGCTGCCATACAACTCCAACAGCAAATTTTTTATATTCGGCAAAATAATAAAGTCAGATTCATGAAACTTGGCAGTCATGTGTCCAATTATAGGTCAAATATATTTCTGAAGTTTTAGAGGAATCGCTTGACAGGTTCGGGTACCTGCCATACAACTCCAGAAGCTAATTTTAAATATTTGGAAAAATAATAAAGTCCGATTCATGAAACTTGGCAATCATGTGTCTAATTATGGCTCAAATATATTTCTGAAGTTTTGGTGGAATTGCTCGACAGGTTCGAGTAGCTCCCATACAAGTCTAAAAGCTTATTTTAAATATTTGGAAAAATAATAAAGTCAAATTCATGAGACTTGGCAGTTGTGTGTCCAATTATAGGTCCGACATATTTCTAAAGTTTTGGTGCGATTGCTTGACAGGTTCGAGTAGCTCCCATGCAAGTCTAAAAGCTTATTCTTAATATTTGGAAAAATAATAAAGTCAGATTCATGAAACTTGGCAGTTGTGCGTCCGATTATAGATCAGATATATTTGTGAAGTTTTGGTGGAATTGCTTGGCAGGTTCAGGTACTTACCATACAACTCCAAAAGCTAATTTTAAATATTTGGAAAAATTATAAGGTCAGATTCATGAAACTTGGCAGTCGGATGTCCAATTATAGGTCAGACGTGTCCATGAAGTTTATATAGAATGATTTTAGGGGTTCAAGTAATTGCTACACAATAACGAAAGGTGCAGGGTATAATTCAATCGGTTTATACCGACTGAAACGTTTCTACTTGTTTTGTAAATGATTTTAACATCAGAAAATATAACTTTATTTTTATTTAAACTTTAATTTTTTAACATAGATTTTAATAATAATTTTAATTTTTAATAATAATTTTTAATAATAATTTTTAATAATAATTTTTTTAAAGGAGGCTTGTTTGATTATTAATTTGAATATAGTTGATATATTTTTCCCAAGAAATTTTTACTAAATGAATGAAATATTTTGTGTGAATTGTTAATTTGAAAATTTTTTGCAATTTTTAGTACAATTTTTATCATCATTTTTTTTTTTACTATTACAAAGAAAGAAAATAATAAATTTTTAATAAAAAATTTGAACAAAATCATAGGGTATACGCTATTTTTAAGTAAAACCACTAGGTATACGCTATCTAAATTTTAAAAGCATAGGGTATACGGCGTATATACCCCCGTATACCCTCCACTACAGCACTGGTTTTAGTGGTAATATACTATTTTCTTTGTGGATATCTCTAGTTGATGTTTTTCTAGCATAATCATACAAATTTTTTATGGCTTTGTTCTGTACTCTCTGTAACATTTCTAGATCTTTATTGTACACATTTCCCCAAGTTTGTACTGCGCACATTATTGTGCAGTGGAACAACGAATAATAAACCATTTTCTTAATTTTATATGGCACTCTTACTGATATTAATCTGAATATCCCAGCAATTCTTCTTCCCTTTTTTAGTTGCGCCATGATTTGATATTTAATTTTCGGAAAAAAGCCACAAAAATTGAGAAATTTAGAAATTCTTTTGTAAATATTTTTTAAAAAAGACGAAATTTCTCTGAATTTTTTTTTGTCGATTCGAAATACAATATTTTCTTCAAGTCTGTCAAAAAAATTGCGTGGAACGTGACATTTTTTTTAATGGTAGCATGACACCATTCGTTAAATTGAAACAAAACGTTAAAAAATGTAGCGAACTAAACTGAAAAGCTAAACAGAATCCATTTGCTTGCCAAAAATTTGTGGCATTATAAAATATCTGATAAGTTGTGAAAGTTTAAATTTCACAAATGAGTAGATTTGTAATTACTTTAACAATACAGAAATAAATACAATATTTAAACAAAAATTATATGTAGCTTACTTGCGGATTGGCTACATATGATTTACAGTGGCGTATGGATCAAATAATTTCTCAGCCGACAACATTATGTTATTGAAGAACCACATGTATGTGTGTCTACTCTCTAAAATTTTTGCTATACTATAATTATACACTTAAAACTAAATTATATTATTCTAGTGTTGGTAATTTCTAAATGTTGCTGTGATCTCTTAACATACGTCAATTTTATAAATTTTATATCTCGTCTTCGTCAGAAAAAGCTTTTACTCCAAAATAGCATAAATCTGTAAGTAACAGTATTCTACAAATATATAATATACTTTCTTTAAAATTACATTAATTCAATTATTTTTAATAAAAACTTACCTTTATTATTCCAAATTTCTTTTTTTCCTTTTAGCACTTTTCCAAAAATTTTTGAAAAAAAGTGCTTATAGTTTCACTATGTTCGGTCGTAATTCAATCTGTCCGTGTGTCTGTTTGCGAAACTTCTATACCCTTGAAGATAGAAAGGTGAAGTTTAATACGTACACAGATTTTTATTATAGAAACTTATTTTCGTAGAAGAAAATTTTTACCTATCTCCCCCCTCTAAAAGTTACAACCCCTCAAACTTCTAAAAATTCCACTTTTAAGTAATTATTTCAGCAAAACCTGAAGCATTTTTCAAATTCTTCAAGAAATCCAGCGACAGGCTTTTTCCACCGTGGCATACTATATTTGAACTTTAAAAAACTAAATGGCCTTTAAACTTTTCCGTTATTTAAAATCCTTTTTTTTTTGCAAATTTTTGATATTGAGAGCATCATAGGGCAAATTTTCAATACAAATTTAAATATATGACACTAATTGAATTCAAGTTTTCTCACAAATTTTCATCTATTGTTTTCCAAAAATTTTAACAAAATTCAAAGAACTCATAATTTATGTTTTTTCTATTCATCTTAAACTAAAAAAGTTTAAATTACCCATTTTATTTTTGTTGGTCTATTTTAATTTTTTTTTATCGTTACTCCTTACAAATTGTTTATTAAAAAAATATAAAACAATATAAACAACAAGGAATAAAAATAGAATTAAAAAAAACAGAATAACCGAAAAAAAATGTTTTCCCGGTGGCCGGCTTAATTTTTTATTATATTTCCTGCACTAAATAAATCTACAATATATCATATATTTCTTTTTTATTCACTCTTATTTTCCGTGAGTTCTTGTCTACCTTTAAAGGATGTATACCTAACATTGATTTTTATAACGAATTTTTTCATTCTGAACTTGTACATGTCCTAGAAATTTTTCTAGAAATATGTACGATATGCTCAGGCATACACATATCGACATGGTTGTACAGTTCATTTGTCCTTTTTTACTATTTCCTTTCACATTTAGTATGCATGTATGATAACAGAGTTTTAAATGTGTCAATAAAATGCATTTTTATAACAGGCCTTTTTCTGTTTTCTTATATTTTATTAATGCCTACATATTTGTGATTACAGGTGGGCTGACAACACGTGAAGAAAGTTGTGTAGTCATAACGTTGTATTATCCTCGACAGAAAAAATTAACAACGTGCCATTCTTTACCAAGTTTACCAACTGTTTTACATTCGTTGGGAATCGAAGAGCTCGCAATGTAAGTAAAAACCAAATAACAAACATTTTTATAGCTTAAATGGATCAAAAATAAAAAATGAAGTATTATTTTACTTTTCGTTTTATTTTTTTTTTATTTTTTGGAATCCTTATTTATTAAGAAAAATACAATAAAAATAAGGTAAAAAACTTTATATAACTTATTATATTATTACGTACTTATATCTACTTTTATTTTTACAATTTAAATCCTATTTTTTATTTGTTTGAAGCTTTTAATTTTATTATTTGTCGAAAGATTTTAAGAAAACTTAAGCTAGAAAGATTTTAAATAAAATTTTATATTACAAAATTAAAAATTTTCTCCATTACTCCGATTTTCATTATGGTTGTGAATGCATACTTTAAAAATAGGTACGTACATAAATAGGTAATGTTTTAAATACAAAATAAGGTTATAATTGACTATATTTTCATTTTCTGAAATAAGCAATTTAAGATTGAAACAACTTTTACGTAAAATTGTGAAACAAACAATGTTTTTTATTTTCATTTCTTTGCGTTATCCATTTTTACTGTGTTCTGAGGGTTTGTATTTAACAGCAAATTTTAATTTCCGTTGTAGTTTTCATTTTGCTTGTTTTTATACCCTGCACTTCGTGAAGGGTATATTAACTTCGGTATGGAGTTTGTAACTACTTGAAGGAGTCATCTGCGGTATGGAACTATATATGTATATATTCTTGCTCAGCGTAAAATTCTGCGTCAATTTAGACATGTCCGTCCGTCCGTCCGATCGCACGATAACTCAAGAACGAATAATGCAATCGACACCAAGGACGAACCCCATTGTTATTGGACTAAGTCGGACAACGGGTTTGGGTAGCTGCCATACAACTCCAAGAGTTTATTTTAAATATTTCAAAAACTAATAAAGCTATAAATATAAAATTTTGTATACATGTGTCCAATTATATTCTACACATGCTCTTATAATTATAATGGAATAGCTTCACCGGTTCGGGTGGCTGCCATACAACTCCAATAGCAAATTTTTTATATTCGGCAAAATAATAAGGTCAGATTCATGAAACTTGGCAGTCATGTGTCCAATTATAGGTCAAATATATTTCTAAAGTTTTGGTGCGATTGCTTGACAGGTTCGAGTAGCTCCCATGCAAGTCTAAAAGCTTATTCTTAATATTTGGAAAAATAATAAAGTCAGATTCATGAAACTTGGCAGTTGTGGGTCCGATTATAGATCAGATATATTTGTGAAGTTTTGATGGAATTGCTTGGCAGGTTGAGGTACTTACAATACAACTCCAAAAGCTAATTTTAAATATTTGGAAAAATAATAAAGTCAGATTCATGAAACTTGGCAGTCGTGTGTCCAATTATAGGTCAGACATATTTCTAAAGTTTTGGTGCGATTGCTTAACATGTTCGAGTAGATCCCATACAAGTCTAAAAGCTTATTCTTAATATTTGGAAAAATAATAAAGTCAGATTCATGAAACTTGGCAGTTGTGTGTCCGATTATAGATCAGATATATTTGTGAAGTTTTGATGGAATTGCTTGGCAGGTTGAGGTACTTACAATACAACTCCAAAAGCTAATTTTAAATATTTGGAAAAATTATAAGGTCAGATTCATGAAACTTGGCAGTCGGATGTCCAATTATAGGTCAGACATGTCCGTGAAGTTTCTATAGAATAATTTCAGAGGTTCGAGTAATTGCTACACAATAACGAAAGGTGCAGGGTATAATTCAATCGGTTTATACCGACTGAAACGTTTTTACTTGTTTTATTATTTATTTTTGTTTTTCTGAAAGTAAAAGTTTTACAATAACAACTAAAGTTTTTCACGTAGCGACTTATGTGTAAACTCAACCAGATATTCTTTCCTTAGTTTAACTTAAAACAAGAATTTTCAAAATGAAAAAGTTATTTTAAACCAAAAAACAAAACGAAAACCTAAAAAAAAAATAAAAATGAAAAAAATGCAACAAAAAAATAAACTTGACAAAGAATTAAGCAATAAAGCCTTTAAAGCAAAACTTCGTATGGCGTAAAGTGATCGTCTACTAGGAGCCAACATTATATTTATCCCGGAAGGAGTTAATACCTAAAACCGTAATGTCTTTCGAACAATTTTTCTCTTTATTTTTTTCTTTTATTATTTTTTCCCTTACTCCCTATTTGCTATACTTTACAGCTCTGTTTTAATTTTATTATGAAGAAAAATTTCAGCCAAGGTTATGGTGTTCTTCTTTTGCTTTGCAATTTTGTATTCGTGTTATGGAATTGCGATAGTAAGCAAAAGAAAATGATTTAAATTAAAAACAAAGCATACTAAAAAAAGTGTGTTTTCTTTATTTTTTTCTTTTTTCTTCTTTATAGTTCTTTTTTTGGGTGTTCACTCCACTTTTTTCTATGTTTTTTATTGTTTTTAATTTTTAAATTTTTTTTTATTTTTAAGAACTGCTTCAATACAATAAGAAGTTTAAGAAAAGTAAAAATTTTGACATTTCAAAATGAAATATCAAAAAAAAAAGAGTACGGTACAATTTCTTTGGCAGAAGGGTAGTTTATTAAAGTATATGTTATAACTTTAAAAATAATATTGTTAGTTACCTTACAAAATAAAACTCTTATTACGCGTATTATTTAAATAAAGAGATTTTTGTTTGTTGAGATTTTGAAAACATAATTGTTCAGGAAGTAAAAAATATGGGGAGAAAATATTTCACAGTAAAAGTAAGAAAATATAATAAATACGATAGCATTTTTAGGTTTATTAATAATTATCAAAACAAATTGGAGCAACCCCACTCCTACATTAATCAAAAATTTATATACATATATAACATACGTACATTTATTGTGAATCTCACTCGTGGTATTCTACGAATTTCAAACTAAGTTACTTATGTAGACTTTTGAGTAATTATAAATTTCACTCGTAGAGATTATGAATCTGCAATGGCAACATAATTTTTCGGAGTGTCAAAATCGATATTTCTTTACAGCTGTCAAATGTCAACATTTAAATTTTTCAAGTTTCAAAAAAATGTATAATTAAATTGAACTCGTTTTCCTTTGCTGTAGTTGTTTCAGAAGAAGAAGAGAGCCGAGAAAAGAATCTGCGATTGGAAAAAGAAGTCTTAGAAATGCTTATAATCGTTTTGATTTGGATAATAAACAAATATTTGAAAAAAAATAAACAATAAAGTTGGGTCAAACCAATGGTTTGTGTTGTAGCACTTTTCCCTTCAACAAGTGAAAATACTGCTTTGCAAAACAATCGATGTATATATACCACACTATTAAAACTATTTTCATTCATATACGAAACTATTTCTAGGATTGTATATATTAAGGATGAACGGTTTATGCAGTTTTTGAAATAAAGCAAAAATTAATTTAAAGAGGGGTTAACGTAATGCTCGGTTTTAAGGGTTAATTGCGTGAGTTTATAGAATTTGCAAAAGCTTGCGGTTTCGGAAATATAAGGCGTCAAAAATTCAAATTTTACAAATTTCAAGAGGCGATAACTTGAGAGCGGGTGGAGATGGAAAAAATTTTTTTCTAACGAAATGAACTATTTGGTAGTGCCTAAAGGCTCCCACATCCTGGGGTCTAGAAGAAAAACAGCATCAAAAATTTGAAAAAACGAATTTTATGTAACTGTAAATTTTGGCGGCCATTTTGTTTTTTTAAAGTTCAACCATAGTATACCGTGATATAAGAAACATCCCACTGCTTTTCTGTGTTTGTAAAATTTGAAAAATGCATATGATTCAACTACAGTAAGCTGTTGAAAAATTGCATTTATAGGGTTTTGGGGGGCATAATTCTTAGAGGGGAGGGGATAGGTAAAAATTATGTTCTACGAAAATTAGTTTCTAGTAAAGATCTATGTACATATAAAGTTTCACCTTTCTATCTTCAAGGGTGTAAAAGTTATGTAAACAGACAGACTGACGGACGGACAAAGTGAAACTAATAAGCATTTTTTTTCAAAAATTTTTTTGGAAAAGTGCTAAAAACTTAAAAAAATTAACAGACCACTCTTGAAAACTGGCTTTCTACGTTTGAAAATTTCATTAGCAAAATTTTGACATTTATTTTCGTTACGAGTGTGAATCATGATTATTCTATTACGAATTTCGGAATACAATTCTACTGCTTCGGAATTAGCAATGTGAAATTCTCAATTTCTCCGAATTTCAGTAACGCAAGTGCGATTTACAAAAACGTGTTGTCCTTTTAAATTTTAAGAACGTTAGCAATCTTTAAGTTAAAATAACGGGATAAATATAATTTTGGCTCCTGGTAGAGGATCACTTTACGCCATACGAATTCCCAGAAAAATTCGTCAGTAAGTTTTGATATTTAATTTCTATCAAATATTAAATTACAAGAAATTCTGTCAATTCTAGTTCCTTATATATAGTAAAAACTGTAAAATCGACCGCTGGTTTGGCTTCTAGCACTGATATTTCCAAAAAATTTAATAGTTCATTATTTTACCAAGTCTAGGTGGTTTCTTGTTCTGTCAAACAAAGTTTATATAATAAATTTTAAGTTAATCTCTTGAACACTTTTTTATAAATGTCACATTATTATAACACACATCATTCAATGTTTTTTATTTGCTCAGATCACATCTGATTTTTACCGACCGCAATTGCCTAAAACAAGGGAGGTTATGTGATGGCAACAAATTTTGCATATAGAGTTTTCGGTGGGAACGTACTTCTCCATAGTAGAGAATGTGAATAAACTGTACATTTTTGATCATTATGACGAAATTTTTAACACATTTACTTCAAGTTTCATATATAAGTTTCCTTGGACCGTCCGCCAAACCTCCTTACGTTTGGAAGATATCAGGTGTCAGCAACAGGACATTAACTACGGACCAAATATATATTTTTGCGTATATAAAGAGAAATATTCAACCGATTTCATTGAAATTTAATTTTCAAATTCAAGGTACTAAAACAATGAGCATATAAATTTTTTGGAAAG